ACAATATGACGACGTGTAAACTGTAATTTTCTACTACCTTTGTCGATATATGAGTTTTTACAGCCATGTTCAAGTACAATACAATCCTATGACATTGTCTGAAACGATGGTCCGTGCGGCGAGAGCATAACCGTGTAGGTACTTGATTAATTTATTGTTAATTCAAACTGTTTAAATTGTACAATATTGTTTGTACAGCACATACTACTGTGAATCTTTTTAATTCTGTACTGGAAAGAACCTGAACGACTGAAAACACATCTCTTCAAAAATTCCTCTCACTAAAGGTTCTTACACTATATTGATTATTGAAAGCTAATATTTTAAAGTAAAGGATTTGACATTTTTTTATTCTTTTTTTTTTTGATTTTAATGTAATATTTTATGGGTGCTTAAGGCAAATATTAATGTGCTGTAAGATCGGAAGACTCTCGTAATGAAGTTAACATTAATTGACAATTGACTCGATTTTGATGGAATTATTAGAAAATAAAATTAAGACAGACATATTTTATTTGTACTAAAGTATAACCGCTGTATTATATTTAAGTGAAAAGAAAAAAAAAGAATTGTTAATTCCACAGTGCTATTAACATTTTTAATTTAGAAAATACTGATAGTGCTGGTACTAACATTATGGGATCAAATATTAATATTTTCACTAATTCAGACTCGAAGACCTATACACTGATTTAAGTATCTAGTCACTGTAGATTTAATCTTTCTTGGATAACTACTAAATACATGACGAGTTTTGATGGGCTTGCATAGTGTTGGGTCACAATAGCCTTATATAGCATAATATTAAATTATCCATTTGAGTTGAACGATGTAGAAATTGCAGAATACAACTTGCGTCCAATTACCTTTGGTGGATTAGTTGTGCACCTGGCATTTTTGTAAGCTATATTTTTAGTAGTGGATACTAGCGTCTCAAATTATAATTATTGACATTCAAATAAATAATCATAAAGAATCGTATAGTTATTGAGTAAATAATTCCAAGAATTTCATAAATGTATGAAATAAAATATTATTTATTTAATCTGAGTGTTTAGTTGACATATTTTGGCAAAACATTTTTATAATACTCAATTTAATATGGCACATCGTATTACTTGAAACATTTTATAATCATATTATTACTATAACTTCAAATATAGTCGCAAATAAAATCTAAAGATTTTTTAATAAGTTATTCGTGTTTATTAATAATGTAATACGATACGATACTCCGTGTTACTCGTTTATTTGATAACTATTTCATAACAATGTCATAAAATCATGAAATCTGTAATTAATGTGCGTCCGAAATCCAGAGGTGCATTATCATACCTAGTAAAAAAATAATAATGTAAATATGTAATAACAAAATATTGGTGATCCGTGACACTACAAGTTTGTCTCCAAATAAATAGGAATACTATAATATAAACGACTCACTACACACTATGACGTATATTCGACAAAAGAAAATTATTTGTTTATGTCATGATATTAGTGTTGAATTCAAAACATTATCGTTCGTAATAACATCCCTTCGTATCAAACGCTGCGCAAAAGATTATAAAAGCAAAAACAAGTAGGAGCGAACAGGGTGGAGTATAGTATTAGGCGGCGATTACGCATTACGCAGGTATATTTATACTTATTTTACCTGCATCATAATATCGTCGGCGTCGGTCTACCTACTTAAAACATAGTTTTATTTTAGTTTGCGAGAGCATAAGTTGTACTGCGCGGAGTTATAAATCGTTGTACGTACGAGATTCATGATCGCACACGAGTTGAATACATTTTGATTTCCCGCCACGGCCCGCTCCAATACAGTTTGTTTTTGACACATGTACCTACGCGTATATGGTATTTCAGTGGCCCTCTCCACTGGCTCACTGGTGTGTTAAAGTCGTTTTCAAGAATTTTCCCATCTAGCGACATTGTTTGGCTGACGTTAGCAGGTTTTAACGAGATGTTTGAGAGTGAGTTTATTATTTATTTTTATAAAAGCGATTTTATATATATAATGTAGTCGCCTATATATATTATTATATAATAACGTGTTAAAACGAGATTTAAAGAACGAAAAAAATATCCAACGTGTGACGTAATTCGCCGACACCTGCCAATCAACCATAGATTAGACCTGTATACAATGACAAGCTTTAAGATGATGGTGACATTTCTATCATCTCTTTTTTGAAAGTTTTTAATAAACGCTAATACGATATGAAAATAATAAGTCATGGATTATTATTTTCGTTTTTTTTTTCACTCCCTCAAACATTTAAAATTCTTATTTCGTCCACTAAAAAATAAAATTAGACAATATTAAAATTCAATCATAAGATATGATAGCAGTTATGATATATATTGAAAAAAAATTATCTGTACCTTAAAATACACATTGAATTTAAACTTTTAATGAACACAAATAAGGAATATTTTGAGTGAGATTTAGCTTTCGGTTAAATGTTTTAAATTTGTTTTATTTTGAAATAAAAATAGGGAAAAAAATATAAGAATTATTTCATAAACTAATAGGAATTATGTGAATTCTACAAATGTTTCTTAGAATTTGTATAATATAGTTATCATTTAAATAAAGATAATACTATACATACAATAATAATAATCAAACGAATCGAATTATACATAACTCCATACAATTATTGCTTGTTATATATTAAAATAAAATCTTAGTTTATTTATAATTTCATATTTTGTGGGCCAGTTATTTATATAAAGGTAACATCCACTGAAAATATTCCGTTCTAAATTATGATTCTTTTTTATTTTCTATTGTATAATTAATTTTCTACCACTTACAGTTAAAAGTTAAAATATGTTAGGGTATGTTCTTAATAGCATTTGATAACAAATTAAACAACAAAACTTGTTATAAACATGAAAAAGTACATAGCATTAATTTACATACTTATCTATTGATTGATATATTTTATAATTTTAAGTTGGTCAATAACAGTGTTTTACACGAGTCTACGCAAAATATTCAAAATATATAACTACTGTTGGTAAAATATTTTAATATCAATAAAAGTATTTTAAAATATTAAAACACATACAATTCATATTAAGGACTCATTATAAACGTCGATGATTAGCGTTGAAAATTGAATGAAATCTGTGCCTGAAATTTGGACTTCAGAATAGGTATGTTAAAACATAATTTCATGAACTTAAATAGAATCACATGGCTGAATCACATAATTTAGTTACGACGGCGTGTTGTATAGGCAAATCAAGTACATTTATGAATTTATGATAAGAATATTTTAGTTTTTTAGTCATATTTTTATGATTTTATTTACTTACACTAAAACAGTAGAAAATAATAATTATAAATACAATAATACTTATGGCTTATGAGTGGCTATGTTTATTTATATGAATTGTGTCATGGTAAAGGTATCTTGTTCGTAAAGTAGAGATAGCATGATTTGTATCGTTACAACATAAAAATCGTTTTCTTGTTTACATAACATTTTGTAACGAATGCATATATTTAAATATTTTGATTTGAGTGAGTAGATATCTTAACAAGAAGCTGTATTTTTTTACTTTATTTCATAAACTTCTTGTCACAATAAATTGTATGGGAGAATTCGTTTTAAGTACTGCACCGTGCTGATTTTCTTTTGTGAAAACGTTAATTTTATGTCTAGTCAAAATGAGTATAAATATTGGTAAAACAATATTGTAATATAAGCGATTGTGGATGGGAGACAAATGTTTTGATCATAGATCTATATTTTAGATTTCATAGTAGAAAATCTAAATGTACATTTTAAGTATGGAAATTAGACTGGGTAATCAATTTTGTTAATCCACATTTTATTTAAAATATAAAGAACTAAGATAAGATTCTATATTAATATTGATTACGAATCATCGGATTACTTGCTTAGAAACTTAACTTTATTTTAATTTACAAATATATTTTATTTTTTATTTCTGTTGTTAAAAAATTTATTCTAGCAACAATATATCTTTATATTGTGTGAAGAAGAAATATGATTATGATTTTATAAAAAATAATATAAAAAATTGATTGAACACACATAAAAATGATTGTTTCTGACTGTTGGCTGACCATATTTTAACGGAAATGAAGTGAGAATTTATTACTCGCAGTTTTTTTTGTTTACTTCAAATAATAGTTAAACAAACATATCTTGATGACCGATGGACATTCCGAGAGCATTTAGAGAACATTTTTTATATAAATTATGGTCGTGAACAATAAATGTTATATTTTTAGGCACAACTACCTCAAACCTTACTTATTAATGGCGTGTAGTGTTAATAACACAGGGAACATATTAATTATTATAAGTTACTGTCTATAATTAATTGTTTGTTATTTGTTAGTCTTAATTTATTTTATTTATGTGGATATATATGTAGCTGTACAACTTTAAAACGTCACGATTAAAATTGCAATTGTATGTGATAAAAATATTGGCTTTTATTTTTCCCAACAAAACTGGTTAAAAAATAATCACAAAATGACAAACACTGAAATGAAAACTGAGTCTGTGTGACAGTAGACAGATATATCCTTTCTTCTCAAGTGAACCACGTTGGGCATAAAATTCTCTACGGTATTTTGTGAGTGTGTGTGTGTATATATACAAGTTAAATAATTTGATCACGTTTCTTAGGTTACACGTATGGTCACAAAACGTAATAAGAAGTCCTGTGCTGAAAAATTCATAAAAATGGAATTACATTGCGTTTACTTTGGCGTGTCTCATGCGATATTTTTTCTACGTACGACATTTTATTCAGAACACATGATCTCAAAACATAGATAAAAATATCAAATGTGTAACACGGCGTGAGTAGTATGTGGGATCGTGCACACTGTAAGTCCATTCTCCCAATGTCTGTACCCTGTGTTATATGTCTTGATGATTTGGACTTGACAAACGATCTCAGAAGAAAACCACAAAGAGGGATCTGATATATTAAGTACTTACCAATAACTGTTAGGTTCAGTCGGGAGTTCCTGGTCGGCGATTTCCGAAAGTCTACTCGACATCTGTAAATTCCGGCATCCATTTCCGATACGTTATCGATGGTTAACATAGCCGGTTCGGATAGCATTCGGAAGTGCGACCTGCCTTCCAACGACTCGTCCTTCCAATGCGACTTGTTTGGATCTGTAAACTTGTCTCGGATGTCCACGCTGTGAAATTAAAAATAAACACAATTAATCAGTAGAGCCAAAAGCAAGTATATTTAAACGTACAATCCTATGCAAAGTATGTGCACAAGCTGCACATACTTAAGATTAATTTATCTATCCCATAAAAATGGGAACTGGTTAACGTGGTAAACTGGTAGAATTATTGTACACAGATGAGGATGTCATACTTATATTAAAAATATACTTCAGGAAAATAATTGATAACATCATTAAATGTTGTCCTGACATGTATGAGATTCAAAGAAAAATGAATCGGAAGTATGGTTTGTCGATTATATTAAATAGACAAGAGAAATATTGTGATATATTTGTGGCCCAAAATCAATACCTAAAAATAATTTAATCTATTGAGAGAAAAATTGTAGTTTTGAGAAGAAAATAATATTAATTAGGCCGACACATTTTAAAAATACGAACGCATACATGTTTAAATAAATTATATTTAATTAGAAAACTATTATTCACAATCAAAACAATATGCGTTTGCATTGTGGAACTTGAGTATATTTAATATTAAAAATTTCATAAATGCAAAGTACATAATGTATAGTTTTAAAATAACCTTGGTGAATAGTATTTGATAATACACTTTTTATACGCATTTTCGAAAAAAAAATAATCCATATCATATTATATTATATGCATAAAAGTTTTAATTAAATCTCGTGGTGCAACATTTTCATCGGTTGGTTTATGAGATCCTAGATTTTTCTAAATAACAGAATAATTAATTTGGTATAAATAATAATAATTAAAAACACACGCATACACAGTTTATTTACTGGATGGGAAATAGTGTATTGAAACTGAATTCTATTTATTCACACTAATTAAGACATGAAAGAGAAAAACATTTTTTTCATGTTAATAATAAACAAGAGCTTATAATGCAAAGTTAGTAAGTACAAACTTTATGCATGTAAATTACGACATAATACCTATCTAATTATTGATTTTGTATCTGATTTTAATTATTTTAGTTAAGTCTATAATTTATTTCTCTTATATGGTTGGTTTCCAGAAAAATGTTATTCTAAAGAAATGTTTTCTATTTCTTGTAAGTAGTATTTTTTTAACCTATAACCAATTTTAATGTTTTTAACGAATAAGTGTAGACAATATTTATTTAATTACAATATTATATTATTTTTGTTGCTAAATGTTGTATTTTGTAAGCATACTGCCACCTCATGTGTTACCTTTTAATCTAAGCTTTCAGGACTAGAGTGTGTGGGGGATGGTCTATTAAAAACACCAAAGATCAAAAAAAAAATAAAGGTGGCCTTTGCACAAATTGACTAAAATTACCATATGTTTGCGATTATTTTTATAACTGATTATTTTTCGTTTAATTAATTGTTTGTGCAGAGATTATGCACCTATATTATTTTTATTATTAATGAAATTCTTATGGAAAGATTCAGCTCCACTTAATGTTTCTTTGTTATTCCTGCCCACAGATATGGATTGGAATTTGAATATTGGTTATAATGTAATATGATGCAAAAATATAATCAAATAAGTATACAGTGAAGCAGGTAGATGAACATATTTTTAATTTACTTTTGATTTCTCAGTTTCTTGACGAAATCGGCAAACCAAAAATAATATTTGAGACATTTAAGTGTCTCGCAATTATTATTTTTATAGTATCGTGGTAACGAATCAATACGTTATATTCGAAGAAACCAAGACTGTATCAAATTAAATGTATAACATACAACTTTATATTGAGAAAGAACAATTTAATTTGAGCTTTGATGCTGATCTTTCAAAGTTGACGTGAAATTCTTTAACTATAAGTTTCCAGTTCAGAATGTGAGAACAAATACACATTATACAATATCATTGAGTGGTAGGTACCCATAATATTTGCGTTTGTTTATTTTCTAAAAAACAGAATACTACTGCTACGTAAAAATATATTTTTTATTAATTTATATTTCATAGAGTTGAGTGAGTAAAATATGATTGTGCAATAGGAAATTTGAATATACACACGAATTTTTATCATTGAAGCTCAGTAATCTTTCGATATTAATTTTAAAAAAAATTAAAAAAATTGAATAAAACATATGCGTACAAACGCATAGTTTATTCCCGCTCAAATGAGTGGTTATTAATTCTTTAATATTTTTTTGTAGACGAATATAATGCACGGCATGGGATTTGAGCTTTACATGCAATGTAATTTTACACCAGAGTGCCAACACTGAGCCACCACAGTCTTATCAATTTCTATTAAACCTCTTTGCATTCCTGTTTGGGTCGATGTGCACGTTGTATGGCTGATGAGAAAATGCCACCGTGTCAAACTGTAAGCAAAATATGACAAAATATCCACGTTAGTTTTAATTAAATTTATTATTGTTGAACTAAGTAGTTTTAAGTACAATATTTCCTACTTAATACCTTTTTCGAGTATAAAAATAATTAAAAAATAATGAACCCAACAAATTGGAAAGCAGTTCCGAAATTCCCGAGGCAAGGTAAATTTATTACACAATATTATGAAAATATGCACTTTAAAAATGTGAAATTTAATTTAATAAAATTTTGTAACAAAATAAATTTCAGAGAAGCGTTTATTGTTCAAAATTACATAAGTGTAAGTAAATTTACATACACATTATGATATAAATGATTCGAAAAATTGCGTATAAAACTGTTTGTGCATTTTTCTTACGTTAAGGTTTGCGATAGTAACCTTATAAATATTTTTAAATAAGAAAAAAGATATTATTATACAAACCAAATTTCAAATATAATAAAAGTGGAAACTGCACACTCAGTCAGTTTTATGGTATTATACTTCAAAGATGAAAAACAAAATATTTTAGGTAAAACATTGAGCGCAAATATAACAAATATATTTTCAGGTTAATTATATGTGCTCCATATCATGTTTTAATACAAGCTTATAAACTTTTGTTGAATCATTTTATCATACTCTTAATATTAGATATAAATAAGTTTTGTGTTCCTATCTAGACGGTATAAGAACCAACATAATATATGTATATTTATTATATATTATAGAAGTTGTTAAAAATTAAACGAATTACAATAATTAAAATCATAAACTGAATAACAAATATTTGAGGAAAAATTGTTCCATGCATAATTATTATGCATTGTTTTTCTGTATAATAGAATGAAACATTTTTATGAAATTAATTTTGGATTGCTTGGCAGAGCTTATATCTTAATGTCATAACATTTTTTTATATATCAAATATCTCTTTTGTGCTGGAACCAAGGACAACTTACTGATTACTGTTTAAGGACCTGACCATAAGTTGTAAAATTGTGAAATAAACAAACAAACCTTTGCATTTTCTAATTATTTCACATGAAAAGCTTAAGCGTAATTTCTTCTTCTAAAAATGTGATAAAAAAACAAAACAAAAACAATTTTGTCTTGACACTTCAAATCTTTATATTTTAAAACGTGGCAGAGCCTGAAAAACTATGTACATCATGATTCATGACCTATATGGCATTGGACGGACATTAATCTGTCTGCTTCGCATCCCCAATGAGTTTAAAAAAAAAAAATTGAAATTTATGCGGTAAGTTGGTGGCTACAAATTACGAATATGTGCTTGAAAATTGTCACATGGTAATGGTTAGTAAATTCCTACAGTACGACGAAAAGTTAACAAGTTAAATTCAGGACTGCGACTCACGGTCGTTTGTCGAACGTCGGTCGAACGAAACACTACGCGTATCCAGCCCACATCACCAAAGTTCCCAGAGCATAGTTTTAGTTTTTACGGCGGGTTTGAAAGTACGCGAGAATCACCTCAAGTCACGGGAGTTGTTTAAAATATGTATACCGTCTCGAAATGACTTTTAGTCGTTTAAAACCGAAAGTGTGCACCTGCCCGCCGTGCAGTGTGTGTGTGTGTGTGTGTGTGTGTGTGTGTGTGTGTGTGTGTGTAGGGGTTGCGCAATGATATTATAATTACTTCAGACGACGACGCCATATACACTTTATACATACCTAATAGTATTATAATAACATAATAATTTATTATACCGTCGCACGCTGTGGTAGTAGTCGCGGTGCAGCGCACATACGGAGGTTCGATAACGAATCAGTGTTTGCTTAATAGTACAATAACAACGACGACGATAATCGTTCGTCTCGGGTGCCAAATATCGTCGCTCGCGTTACCGGTTCGGAACGAATCAAATTATAAGACCCGCCCCGGCCCCCGGTGGTCGTGGGGTCGGGGAGGCGGACGCGGGAAGACGCGTCTTCCGATAAATCTTTGCGGAACGATCGTCTCGAATCGGGGGGAAACACGGCTTTCGGGCGCAAAATGTGCGTGGGCACACAGTACGTGTGCGTAGACGTCGGCCGTGTGTGTGAGCGCATATCATTATCGTTGTTGCGTTTAATTTGAATTGCCGCCGCGGGACGGTTGCCAATGAGCGAAACCAATACAACAAGTGTTGGGCGTTATTGCCACTCGATGGATGTCCCTCGTCGTGTCACCCGCCACTGGCCCGCGATGCGAATATATGTGTAAAGTCGTTTCCCGCAAACGTTTTCTTGCCAAGAATCTCCGTCGTCTGCACCTCCCACTCGTCCCGACCCCGAGGTCCGCTAGACCGTACACACGCGCGTATTATACTGTGTTTAATAATATTGTATAATATAATATAAACCGTACGCACATATTACTTTATCGAACACGTTTGTTATAGTACGTCGGATTACTATATACGCTCACATCGATAAGACAATAATAACATATACGAGCATGCGTACATATTATTATTTTTAGCGGTAGTAGTGGTAGTAGCATTGCATGGCGAAAAGGAAAGAAACGAAATTATATACCACTCACGCCGCGCCGACGTGAGACGCTGATTGACACTGACCAGGCGAATATCTAAAAATCTAAAAATTTAAATTCTTCTCCAGAAAAAATAAATTTACAATTTTAGTTCATAAAGTTTATCACAGA